CCCTTAAAAGAATTTCGTCCTCGAAATTCTTCTAAGGTCCACAATGAACATCTTGTTGTATTCATATCTAATCATGATTGCATCATATCCACATGGTTACGTCTCATAGATACGCATTCTCAAATCGTTGATGTCACCAAACTCGCTCAACCTTTGAGAGATTAATAATTTTCGATTAAGCAAGGTCTTCACTGATCCTTTGGTATTGATGACAAAAGTTCCTTCGTAGTGTATAGTATTGCATACTTGACATATACATAACTTCATTCAATCACGAGTCTCGTTTGCACGTCATTGCTCAACGGAATTTCTTTTCTTGATTGAAAAGTTCTTCAATATCCTTCATAGAAGGTTCACAATAGGCATACTTGAAAACTTGGAAGGTCTATCAATTCATACGTCGTAAGCTTTCAAGTTACTTAAATGGTCGTTGTCTTAAGGCATTAGCCATTTTGACTTTTTGTCTCACATTTGAACGTATTTCAGGACAGCGAATCTAACTGTTCATGAGTCTCAATATGTCATATCACAGCTATAAAGCTGTGTGCTTCATCATTACTCTTTATGAAAAACGATAAGTAAAAGCTTGAAAAAATTGATGCTTTATTTTTTTGAGAATCGAGAAAAAGAAATGTGTGGCTCAAGGCAATATCAATGTCTAATCGAATAAAAGAAAAGGTTTAACGAATATAAGCATTTAATGTGGAAAGTTGAATGTGTAATCATAAAATTGCGTGCTTCATCGTTATTCTTTATGAAAAAACAAAAAAACAAAAGTTTGAAAAAAGCATGCTTTATGTTTTCGAGAATCGAGAAAAAGGATTGTGTGGCTCAAGACAATCTTTATGTCTAATCGAATAAAAGAAAATATTTAACAAATATATGCATTTAATATGGAGAGTTGAATGTGCAGCTATAAAACCGCGTGCTTCATCATTACTCTTTATGAAAAACTGAAAAAATAAAAGCTTAAAAAATGCATGCTTCATCATTACTCTTTATGAAAAACTAAAAAAAATAAAAGCTTAAAAAATGCATGCTTTATGTTTTCGAGATTTGAGAAAAAGAAATGTGTGGCTCAAGACAAATTTTATGTCTAATCAAATAAAAGAAAATATTTAACAAATATATGCATTTATTGTTGAGAGTTGGGCATGTAGCCATAAAATCGCGTGTTTCATCAATACTCTTTATTAAAAACGAAAAAGCAAAAGTTTGAAAAATGCATGCTTTATCTTTTCGAGAAAAAAATGTGTGGCTCAAGACAATTTTTATGTCTAACCGAATAAGAGAAAAAATTTAATAAATATATGTATTTAATGTTGAGAGCTGGATGTGTAGGCAAAAAACAACGTGCTTCATCATTACTTTTAATGGAAAAACGAAAAAAGCAAAAGCTTAAAAAATGCATGCTTTATGTTTTCAAGAATCAAGAAAAAGAAATGTGTGGCTCAAAGTAATCTTTATGTCTAATCAAATAAAAGAAAAGATTTAACAAATATATGCATTTAATGTGGAGAGTTGGATGTGTAGCCATAATATCGGGTGCTTCATCATTATTCTTTATGGAAAAATGAAAAAAGCAAAAACTTAAAAAATGCATGCTTTATATTTTCGAGAGTCGAGAAAAAGAAATGTGTGGCTCAAGATTTAACAAAGAGTAATTTACCTAAATAGGACTAAAACATAATGACTTTCCCAATATAAGACCATATGTTTTTATTTCTCAATGTAGAACTTTTGGTCATTATCAAGTAGTCATTATTCAAGTAAATGTTCATCATTACTGGACATTATTTCTCTCATAAGGTCATTATTAAGTCCTACTTAGGGAATAAAAAAGTTTAAGTCCTACATTAGGAAAGTCATTATGTTTTAGTCCTATTTAGTGCAAATTTCACTTTAACAAATACATGCATTTAATGTTGAGAGTTGGTTATCCCTTACTATATGCTATTTATACCCATGAAAATTTAGTTCTCAGTCATAGTTAGCTATATCTAAGTCACTTTTTGTGTTACCAAACATAGATTTTGGTTTCTATGTTCAACTTCGGACATAAATTTTATATCAAGACAATAGCTTGAAGACAAAAATTAAAATCATTGTTTCAAACCTTTGTTTTTTAGTGTTAGGAATTACTATTGGTTAACTCAATAACTTATAAATATTAAATACGCAAGAATTTCTAGAAAAAATTTGTTTCCAGGAAAATGTGTATATTCACATAAAATTTATGTCCGGTCCGTGCAACGCACGGGTTCGAATAATAGTGTAGTGCACATTAAGAATAATTGATTATTAAAGTTTGTCCATTATAACTCAAAAAAATTACATTACACATATACACTGGAACATGAGTATATATAATGTAATTTGGAACGTTTTTTTAAGGAGAGGAGTAATAAATATGGCAAATGATAAATATAGCTTGTAGAGCATGTCCAATGGAGTCTATGTTCCACCTGATATGGAAACTAGCATGAAACGCACTATGTGCGTTTGGTGCCCACCTACAAAGGAAAACTAGAAGTAAAATGCTTGAATATATGATGACAAATGGGATGCACATAGGTTATTATAAGTTGTTTAATCAAGTAATGACATGAAGATTATAAGTGGGATAAAGCAAATGCCCAGTTTTTACGTTTCAAATTTCATTTTGAGATAATATATTATCTGCTTTAAGTAGGTATACTCTACAATAATTTAACAAGAGTAAGTATAATTTTAGATATTGCACTTACTTTTGAAATATCACCGAATATGTATCACACAGAGTACACAAGAGTGAAATTAGGACACTAATTTTGGGACGGATGGCCAACAAATAATGTGAGAAAGCTTTGTAAACTTTTAATACATATTGTGACATTTCACAGAACTAAAACTTCTGTTTAGGTGATAAAAACATACAATTCTTATTTCGATTTATGTTCTAATCTTAATTAAATAGATCATGTTTTTAGGCCTGGTCGTATCAAGGATCAAACTTTTTTTTAGGTTTGGTGACTTTGTTCTCGATCCAGAATATTTAAAATTAAATCTTCTATACAAAGGTCCAAGACAATATATTCTTGATAAACTCGACCATGGGCCTGAGTATGTAGCCCCTAAAGGCCCATCCGAAAAGTGAGGATTTAGGCTTTGCCTCGGCCCGTGAATTTTAGAGGCCTCAAATGGTGAAGTGTAGGTATGGCTATGTTGTTGGAGTCTGAGGACAGCCCGGTCCAATCCAAATAAGTGTATAACCTCTGTCCCAACATATTCATTTAGTTAGCATTTTTCAAATCAAAATAGATAAATTTTGATCAAGTACAAATTTATTTGTATACTACTATAAAAATAATTTTTTTTATATTTAGATTGAATTTTTGGAATACTACTCAATAACTATCTATTTTCCCTAATTAATCGTCAAAACTAACTAATTCCCAAAACAATACTCGGTAATTGAGAATAATGCTCCGTTTAGCCCCTCCCAACTAACGGCCGCTAAAAAGATGTTAAACATTATACTACTTTTTCAAAATGATATTTTCTAAATGGGGTTTTTTTTCAAATTGGTCCCTTTTTGAAATAAAAATACATTTAACTATGAAAAATATTTTAAATTTTATAAGATGACAATATAATACTAAAAACGATAAAAAAAATTTAAATTTGAAAGTAACGTTTTAGATTATTTACAATTATTTAAGAGAATATCATCTAAACAAAATATTTAATAAACGTTGAAGAAAATATCCCAAATAAGAGTAAAACATAGAAAAAACTCCTATTTTAGTACCTCCTTTTTGTTTTACTCCTATTTATTTGTGATTTTTTAACGATTATTAAACTACTTGCTATTCTTCTAAAATAATTATAAATAATCAAAAAAATTTACTTTTAAATTTATAAAATTATACTCGTATTTATATTTTTAAGTATTATATTTTTATTTGATAGAATATAAAATAATTTTCTATAATTGATGTATTTTTATTTCAAAAATAGACTAATTTGAAAGAACATCGAGTTAGAAAGTACTATTTTGGGAAAGTAGTATAAAGTTTAACGCCGTTTTAACATCATTCTAACGACCGTTAGTCGGGAGACTGAAGTGAGCATTATTTTAAATTAACGAGAACCATCTTGGGAGTTAGTTGATTTTAGAGACCAATTTAGGAAAACACATAGTTAAACACTTAAAATAAGTTGCCTGTTACTTTTTATCATAAACTTTTATGAGTAAAACACTTAAACAACTCTTAAAATAAGTCACTCTTCTCCACTTTATCTATGCATTCATCGTCATCCCTCTTAAAAAGTAATGACTATTTCAAAAAATCAACTCTATTTTTTATTTTTTTTAAATATATCCAAAAATCATAACAAACGATTTAAAACGAGACGGAGGATGTACTATTTTGAGAATTTACGTTTAAATTTACCTTGTGGTAAGCTATACGAAATTTGTTGCGTTGTACGGAGTATTAGTTTGTACTCTGTACTTCATAATACAAATTTACTATAATTGATGATTAAAATTAAGGTCAAACTAGACTAATATTACGCGACAAAGAAAATTCATAGGTAAATTAACTACTAATTTAGTCTTTCTTGTACTCATCATACATTTACTAGTTACTGCGAATTAAATTAGGGTGAGGAACAGTCAATTTTACGAACGGGACACCGGAGCGCCTCCGAGTCATCCCATGACATTGGACATTGGATTCCAATGTCATGGGAACCTTGGTGATTAAATTAACCAGGTACGATTTGATAAATTTTCAAAATATGTATAGTAATAGAGAATACAGGCTATTAAGTACGAATAGATACGCAAAGGATAATATAGGTACTACCTAAAAATGGTCAAGCACTATTACAACACAAATCAATTCAACATGGGGAATTCTATGTTCTAACAGCATATTTCAAGTCCCAACTGTTAGAACATCGAATGTTACTCTCAACAACAATAACAAACTCCAATCCCAACTTTGCATGATCGGGAGAGTCAAGATTTATTACCCATGTAAAAACAATTTATCCATTATCTTATCGAAACTAAATCATTGTCAATAATGACTTTTATGTGCAGTACAAAATAGTTCGAAGCGCTTCAAGAAATAGTTACAGAAATTATCATGAATCATCAGTGATTGAACAAATAAATATGAATGGATGGAGCGCGTACTAACCGCAAAAGTAGCCGCTAGCCGATGTTTGAATTTGCATTGCTACCTCAAAAATGGGGGAGCGGTGTTTGTTAGTAAAGAGAGAGTGTGTATCCAAATGAGTTTAGAATATATCCACAGCATAAATAACAACACATCATCGCCAAACATCCTTTTACAACCAGAACGCGAAGCAGACTATAAGAGAGCTGATGATGAGAGCATTGGAATCATGCAAGTATTGCGATCCACAGCCAGAGTCTGTAGAGTTTGTTGATGGAACAAGAGAGGTCCCATTTGTTAAGGATCCATTTCTCCCGACACTTAAAGTACACGCAAAAAATAGGAGAAAAGAAAGAAGGCATTAGTATCGCCATATATTAAAAAAAAGAACATCCAAAAGGGGGAAGTGAGTAAAGTTTTTTGGGACGAAAGGAGTATATAAGAGGGGCTAAACTCCACCATTGGTCCTTCAACTTTATCAATTGTGCACGATTGGTCCTTCAAGTTTTAAAAGTCCATAAATAGTCCATCAACTTTATGAGTTATGCACGATTGATCCTTCAAGTTTTAAAAGTGCATAAATAGTCTTTCAACAGCCCTCCAGATGGGGCCCTTTTGACAGTAAATGTTAAAAGCTAAATGGAATCCTAGCTTCATATAATACGGAGTAGTCGTACATAGTGGAATTTACTCGTATTATATGAAACTAGTATTTCGTTTAACTTTTAATATTTACTGTCAAAAAGATTTCATATGGAGGGCTGACGTTTATTTGAAGGACTACTTATGGACTTTTGAAACTTGAAGGACCAATGGTGCAGAACTCATAAAGTTGAAGGACTATTTATGGACTTTTGAAACTTGAAGGACCAATCGTGTACAACTGATAAAGTTGATGGACTAATGGTAGATTTTAGCCATATAAGAGGGGTTTTGGGAATAACTTGGCTGTAAAAAAAATAAACATTACACTTACCTCCCCGGATATAAACAAGAACCATGACCTGCATAGGGCAAAAGCATCAGCATTTCAGTAATGATCTAAAATCAAACTCGAAATCCCAAACTAATTTCTAGATGACATATTACTTTATATTTCTCTGAGAATCAGAAACAGAAAAGTTTTAGCTATGACGTTGTGTTCAGTTTGATAGAAAGCATTTTCGTTGATGACTGAAGGTGATTCTCCTCTTGATCTATACAGCCAACCCCAAATCACGTGGGATAAGGCTTAGTTGTTGTTTAGTTGGGAAACTTTGGAGGGAGACAAAGGATATATAGTGAGAGATTAGTTGTTGTACTTACTTGGGTCAGTGGTAGTGAGGGTGGCTGCCCCTCTGAAGTCGCACTCGGTGTCTGTCATGCCTTGGCTATGATAATACGCATCAAAAGCATATGAAGCATGGCTCGACAGTCTCGTCGAACCGTTCGGGTCATAGCACGGCTGCCCTTGAGTCAAAGGGGAGCAGTTCACTTTCCCGGGCCCACAAGCCCAATCTAACCCAGATTGAACCAAGGCTGCGTCGGCTGATTGCTTAGCCACACAAAATGTCGGCTTTTTAGTGTCATTCTGGAACATCGTCCAAGACCCATTCAAATGCAGGGTATATACTGCCACTCCAATGCGATTAAACAGCCCCCAGTTCTGTTGTGAAGCGAGGCCGGGATTTTTGTCTTCATTGTACAGCTCATAAATGTAGGTACTAACAGCTACACCGGGACGCTTTGGTGTCCCAGTGCCATTCAGAACACGACTAATCAGGTTACTATTGTACGTGTTAGCATTGTCATGCGTGGCATCTGGCTCAGAAAGTTCACCCTTGGAAGGCCAGCCTGACTCAGTCACCACAACTGGAATGTTTGAGTAACTGAGATTCAACATGGCAAAATATGCAGCATCCACCATCGCATCAAACACGTTAGTGTAGTGTAGGAACGTGCTGGAATCAATGGCGTCCTTGTTCGGAGGGAGGGGGCGAAAAAGAGCGTAATCCAATGCGATTGTACCATTGGATGACACATAAGCAAAGTACGGGTAGACATTGAGCATCAGATATGAACCGGTGGAGTCCAGAAACTTGAGAAGGGGATCCATCACTCCAAGCCACGAGCTATTAAAGTGAGCTCGTGACGGTGGGAATGATTCGAGGATAACATCAGACGAGAGTGGAGTGGAGACTTTTATCTGGGAGTCAAGCCTAGCGCCAACGAGGGCTGAGTGGGTGAAATTCATGGCATTCACCAAGACACGAGCAGCGTTGGGAAGGGTGGCAAGGATGTTGGATCCGACCGCGATGGCAGTGATGTGGGTGGAGGGTATATGAGTCAGAATATTTTGTGAAACCCATTTCGCGGCGGTTGCATTGGATTCGCCGATGCCTATGATCAGATCATTCGGAATCGTGACTACGACGCTGATTCCAGTATTCGCAAGCGCCTTTAGCATAGCTTGGTCTGCATTGAAGAGTCTGACATGCCTAATTTGCTGGTCCTTGAGGAGGCTTACGACGTCAGTTGGGCTGGGCATATCAGAGATCTGTGTACCTATATTTACACCAATGAAAGCCTCTGCATAATAAGGCGAAAACACGGTATTGTTACTCGAGATTAGTTAGTAACGGACACACTAATCGACTTTTTATCTTAGCTTGAAAGAGAATCGTCAAATCTATTCATGTCCAACAGGCAACAGAAAAAATGAGCAACCATTGTATGCACATGAGTAACCTTAAGAAAAAGTGATCGAGATAAAAAAGAGCATGAACACGATAAAACAAAATGCAAACGAGAAACCGTCAAGAAAATTTCAAAAAAATCACCAAATATAGTACTTCTAGATGCAAGTATATCTATTTTAAAAAAAAGCCGAAGTACATCTTTGCACCTAAAACTTATTTCAAGGATTGTTTGGAGTAACATGCTAAAATTGCTTGCCGCATCGCTTTACAAGACTTTCGCTTAAAAATTGAAGTTGGCTTTTAAAATATAGCTCCTCCTTTGGGATTAAGCATGTTTTTGAAAATGGACCCTTTTTTTGGACCGCTGAATTGTTTGCTAACAATCATTCACACCTTTTGAACTGCATTCATAATTTAATGCAGTAGTTTCATGCCTTCCTGAAGATTAAATGGGTTGCTCAGACTGAAGCTATGGGTAACTAATCATCAAAATATGGAAGGGTGAAAAGTTTGAGTATGGAGAAGAATGATGCCCTTTATGAGCACCAATAAATCACAAACAAGAAGAAGCTAAAAATATAACCAATGTTTTCTCTACTTTCTCTAGGAGTACAATGCATGTTAGAATTTTAAATAGCAACAAAAGCCAGAGCAGACTAAGTGCACACTGCACAGTCTATGCCTCCCAAAAAATATGTTGGTATACTCTGAAAGCTCATTATAATGGTTAACTTAAATCTTGTAAAAACTTCAATTATATATGATTTGTACTCATTAGAAGAAAATGCACATAAGCTGTGCAGCATGTATTGATTCTCTTATAAAGACAAAGACATGTTTTGAGAAGAACACATAAATGAAAAAGATTCCATCTTTGTCCTGTCTCTAGAATAACCCAAAACTTTACAGTGTACTGTAATTGGTAAGAACATTCCAAATTCCAAATGACTTTGATCCACACTACTAATACACTCCCTTTGTCCCCTGCAAAGAACTTCACACTTCCTTATTTGGATGTCCCAAAAAAAATTTCCCACTTCTGGTTTTTCCATTAAAAGAACAGAATATATGGCTTACAAAAATTCCCCATCTTCTAAACAGATTTCAACCACATAATTTTCACTTTTAAACGGATTTCTACATGAGACGGAGGCCCTCGGAGGGAGTATGTTTTCCTCTAGGGTTTCCAAGAAAAAAACTCTAACTTCTATTAAAACAACAACATGGCAAGCTATGCAGTAGCCATTCTTCGTGCTTACAATGTACATCCTCTCGAGACACCGCCTAGCACAAGGATTAGGGTAGGCCTAGCGCTTTTTAGAACAGAAAAAATCTTTCAAAAAATTCTCAGGCTCTCCTCTTTATGACAATTTCACAAAATTCAAGAATAGGAAGTAATGCATACAACAGCTAAGGTCAGAATAATATACATGAAATCCTTTATTTAGAACTAAAGAGTTAAACAAAAAGAAAAGAAGATAGAAGCATATCTAGATGGAGGCAATAACCTCTCCCCCCCCTCTCTCTCCTTGGGCAACCAGAAAAAAAGGATTTAAAAGAGAAAACAGAAGGAATAAAGTAATATACAGATGAATGAAGAGAAGTAACCTTCTCCATGTCCAGAAGGAGCAGCAAAGAATCCTGAAATGTGAAGAACAAGAAGAAGCAGAGGCAACAATACATTCTTGCATTTCCCCATCATTTCCACCGCCCCAAAGCTACAATTTTTACAACAATAACAAAAACCACCAAATTCTACCAAATGATGTTTTCTTTTTTAAAAGTAAATAAAAGGTGGGAAGAGATGGATTGAAACTTCTTGTTTGTGGAAAATGGGCAATCTAGCTACAAGAAAGTGGGGCAGAGGAGAGTTTTTCATTCTTTTTCTTTTCCTTTTCTTACTGAGAAGAAGAAAAGGCGATTCTGGACTTTTAAAAGAGAGGGGAAAAGAGTTTGCTTGTTTTAATTTAATTAGTATGGACTGTTCCCAACTTCCATTACTATTGAGTCTATCGTATCTCAATAATTTTTGTTTAGATCTCAATTACTCCCTCCGTACACTATAAATTTTACATTGCGCGTTATGATGTTTGACTGAAGTTATTTTCAAATCATTATATATGAAAAATGGTATAGAATTGAAAAATAAAAATTACATATTAAAAAACTATATCAAAAGATCTACAAAACTAGAGATGACATGACTATATTATTTTATCAAATAGGTGACGAAAATAGGCTAACAAAATGAATAAAGTTTGAACATGTGAATAGTGAACGTAAAGTTTATTTGTGGACGGAGGGAGTATTTTTATTTATTTGTAAGTTTTATTGATTATCTTATATACTCTCATAAACTAAACTATTTTTTCACATCTTATTTTTTAAAAACTATTGATATATTTTTGAATAGTGTAAATGGGTGTAATTTGTATTTTTTTTATTTTTATACTAGTTTTTAGTTGAAATTTTTTTAAAAGTGAACACTAATATTTCTTTGGGACGGAATTAGTATTTTGATCAATTAAAAGTGTTGTTTGTTAAGTACAGATCATCAAAGTCTATATATAGAGCTTATATTGGAAGCGACGACCAGTTTTTGCTTTTGACTTATTTAGGCATTTTTTATTTTATAGGAACTAGTATTTTGAAGGGTAAAGCACGGGATTGAATGAAATTTTTATCGCTATTCTATCTTTAATGTAATATTTTCAAATAAATTATAAAAATATACGTAATGCATTCTTTAACACTATAGATATTAAAATCAAAATAAAATAAATAATATAGCACTTAATATTTGGTAATGAAAATTCTTATATTTAAATTTAAAAGTGAGCACCTTAAATTTTCTTAAATCCAAATTTTATTCAAGACTTTGGGGTATACGACATTTTTGGTATGATTTCACGGATTTTCATTATCATCTAGAATTAATATTTTTAACCATGTTTTTTTCATTCTTGAAACAACAATATAGAGTTGACCATGTCTGGACACCGACTTAAACTCAATGGCGGATCCAGGATTGTAAATGACGGGGGGCGGGATAATAAGGTGGAAGTTTGGGGGCAGCGCCCCCAAATTTTTTTAAAGATGCTTTTAAATTATGATGATTTTCATTTAATTTTATACTCCCTCCGCCCACAAATAAACTTTACGTTCACTATTCACAGGGTCAAACTTTATTCACTTTGTTGGCCTATTTTCGTCACCCATTTGATAAAATAATATAGTCATGTCATCTCTAGTTTTGTAGATCTTTTGATATAGTTTTTTAATATGTAATTTTTATGTTTCAATTCTTCACCATTTTTCATATAAAATGTTTTGAAAATAACTTCAGTCAAACATCGTAACGCGTAATGTAAAATTTATTTGTGGACGGAGGGAGTATCAAACAAGTTTAAAATAAGTAAAACAATGTATCTCAAAAGTAGCAAAGTGTTATACGGAGTACTAAATGAATTACGCATAACGAAGTATATTTAATATCACTAGAGTATTACAAATACTTCACTTTATATTCTATTAAAAAATGCAACAAACTTTTTTATTAATCCCATAACCAAAAATTGCTATAAATTAAGAAGCAAGTACGGGTAATATTTGCCTATTTGGACTGCTTTTGTGATTGGGCGTTAGACAATTAGTTAGGTATTTTATTTACTAGACTTGTCCACAAGGGGCAGACTTTGACACAATACTTAAAACTAAAAAATAAAAAAAATAAAAAAATTATTTTGACTGGGGGGAGCTGCCCCATATTGAAGAAGGTGGATCCGCCTCTGGACTTGGTTTAAGTAATCTAACAAATGAAGTATTTGATCTTGACTTTAGTTAATAGTCATAACAAAATATAAAATTATTGAGAATTGTCTTCTTTAGAATTTCACAAATTTTGCCTTGGAAAGTCTTATTCACGATTATGATTTAGCTACCAAATTTAGGAGATTTCTAATTTCTTTAAGTATATATCACGTTGGCCTACATTCATTTCAATTGTGTTCTTCTCGATTCAAAACTTTTGCCTTGGAAAGAAAACTACAAGTAATTTGTTTGCTAAATCGTCATGTCTTTCAAGCCCATTCACCCTTTATCAAAAATCAATCCGACGAGTGTTGGAGGATTTGTGTTCGTGTGATACGGTTGTATACATTGTCTGCCTTCAATGGACAATAAACTCAATAGAGATGGTGTTTACAAGGAATTTACCTGTGCCACGCACACATATTTATAGCATTTACAAGGAATTCTCACCATAATAAAGTCCTTCCTAAAATACAAAAGGTAAGTAAATAATTAAATGTGAAACTCTCCTAATAGGGCCGTATTTGAATGAAATCAAATGTTCGGGAATCCCAAACATACCATGAATGGTATGATATGATTTCCAAGAATAGATTATTTTCTTAACATATGGTGATTGACAAAATTTACGAAAAATATTATTAAGAAACAATTTTAAATAATACTAAATTTGAAAATTGTGATCACGAGTATATTATTCATCACCTTACTTATATTACGTAGGTGTTGATAGCGATTGGATAACAGTTGAGTTTTTGAATGAAATCAAATGTTCTGGAATCCCAAACCACAAAATAATCTTGAAAAAGGGGTACCAAACATCAGAGTTATGCAATGGGACAAGATTAATCGTTCAAGAGCTGCAAAATAATGTTATCGGTGCAATTGTGATTTCAGGAAATCAAGTCGGGAAAAAAAGGTTTGCATCCCTAGAATGAAATTGGTACCATCTGATCTAGGCCTACCCTTGATGTTCCAAAGAATACTATTCCCAATCGCCTTATGTTTTGCTATGACTATCAACAGAAGTCAAGGTCAAACATTGTAATTTATGGGATTATTTTTAACCAAGTCGGTGTTCACATATGGTCAACTTTATGTTGTTGTTTCACGAGTGAAGACAAAGACAGGATTAAAGATATTAGTTCTGGATGACAATGGAAACCCTTACAACCATACCAAAAATGTTGTATACCCTGAAGTCTTTCAGAAAATTGGTATTAAAATAAACATTGTTAACTCTACATTTAGTTCTTCAAATATTATTTATTTTACTTTGGCATTTTTCATCTGTAGTATTAAAAATCATGTGAGCAATATATTTTCTTTATACTAAAAAATAAATTTGATTGAAATAATTCAAAATCGACAAATAATTCTTTTGTCCCCGTGCATTGCACAGGTCAGAATACTAGTCTTTATATATAAAAAGGAGAGTTAACCTCCTAGAAATTTGACATGTGGAATGTCTACTAGGCTATTTTTACATGTCATTTTCCATCACATTTAAAGAATTGATATGTGGCAATATCTATGTGGCACTTTTTTTTTGACAAATTATCATTTATTTATGTAAGACAATAAAAAAATTAATTTTTTAAAAATTTATGAAAGGCAATCAATTACAAGTTGAGTAAATTTATAACATACTTAAAAATAAAATTGTTAAAATTTGAATATATCTTTTATATATAAAAATGAGACTCATATAGAAAGTTGATATGAGTATTTATCCTTTATATATATTTTTTAGACTCCTTACTAAAAACAATTGACATGTGCCTCTTTAAAAAATGACAAGTAACTCTTTAAAAAATTGACATGTGCCAATATCTATGTGGCATTATTTTTTAACAAATTCTCATTTATTTATGTAAGGCAACCAAAAGAACCAAACAATTATTTGTTAAAAATTTATGAAAGGCAATGAATTACAATTTAAGTAAACATTTAATATACTTAAATAAATATTTAACATTCACTCAGAAAGAATTCAACGGGGATTGAAAATTCAATATACTACAAATAATACTTGACATGAGATTAAATTAAAATTTTAATTTGTTTTCAAATTCGTATTAATAAAATTTTGATAAATCTTTTATGTATAAACATGAGACTCATAACTTTAGTAATTTGATTACTATGTGAATTATTTCACCTAATTTCGGACAAGAAAATCCTTTTCCTTTATATATAAATTTGAGACTCCATACTCTAAGAATTTGACATGTGGCTCTTTAAAAAATGACAAGTAACTCTTTAAGAAATTGACATGTGGCAATATCTATGTAAGAAATTGACAAGTAACTCTTTAAGAAATTTTTTGACAAATTATCATTTATTTATGTAAGACAATCAAAAAAAACCAAATAAATAATTTGTTAGAAATTTATGAAAGGCAATCAATTACAAGTTAGGTAAATATATAATATACTTAAATAAATATTTAACATTTACTCAAAAAACAATTCAATGTGTGATTATCAATTAAATATACTACAAATAATACTTGACATGATATTAAATTAAAATTTTAATTTTTATTCAAAATAAAATTATTTAAATTTTAATAAATCTTTTATATATAAAAATGAGACTTATATAGAAAATTGATATGTGTATTTATTATGTGATTTATTTCACTTAATTTTGAGACATGAAAATATGAAATAAATATTTTAGGATGACATATTTGTAATAGATTTAAATATGAAATTTATATTTTTGTTTTATAATAATTTTCTTTTCTAATTCAATATTTTTTCTCTCTTTATGTATAACAAAGCTTTCAATTAATAAACACGTAACTCTTTTCACCCTTAAAAAATTATACGAGTATTTGTTTAGGATATGCTTAAAAAAATTAATTTTGAATCTATTTGTTTAAATAATGATATAAAATTTTTAAAAAAATATGATTGGTTTATACTAATCTTCAATTAGAAAAAATACTACACATAATTTAATAGTTTGAGTATATTGATTTTATGATTTGAT